AGTTCTAGTTCAGTTCTAGTTCAGTTCTAGTTCAGTTCTAGTTCAGTTCTAGTTCAGTTCTAGTTCAGTTCTAGTTCAGTTCTAGTTCAGTTCTAGTTCAGTTCTAGTTCAGTTCTAGTTCAGTTCTAGTTCAGTTCTAGTTCAGTTCTAGTTCAGTTCTAGTTCAGTTCTAGTTCAGTTCTAGTTCAGTTCTAGTTCAGTTCTAGTTCAGTTCTAGTTCAGTTCTAGTTCAGTTCTAGTTCAGTTCTAGTTCAGTTATTCAGTTCTAGTTCAGTTCTAGTTCAGTTCTAGTTCAGTTCTAGTTCAGTTCTAGTTCAGTTCTAGTTCAGTTCTAGTTCAGTTCTAGTTCAGTTCTAGTTCAGTTCTAGTTCAGTTCAGTTCAGTTCTAGTTCAGTTCTAGTTCAGTTCTAGTTCAGTTCTAGTTCAGTTCTAGTTCAGTTCTAGTTCAGTTCTAGTTCAGTTCTAGTTCAGTTCTAGTTCAGTTCTAGTTCAGTTCTAGTTCAGTTCTAGTTCAGTTCTAGTTCAGTTCTAGTTCAGGTCTAGTTCAGTTCTAGTTCTAGTTCAGTTCTAGTTCAGTTCTAGTTCAGTTCTAGTTCAGTTCTAGTTCAGTTCTAGTTCAGTTCTAGTTCAGTTCTAGTTCAGTTCTAGTTCAGTTCTAGTTCAGTTCTAGTTCAGTTCTAGTTCAGTTCTAGTTCAGTTCTAGTTCAGTTCTAGTTCAGTTCTAGTTCAGTTCTAGTTCAGTTCTAGTTCAGTTCTAGTTCAGTTCTAGTTCAGTTCTAGTTCAGTTCTAGTTCAGTTCTAGTTCAGTTCTAGTTCAGTTCTAGTTCAGTTCTAGTTCAGTTCTAGTTCAGTTATAATTCAATTTAGAATTTAGACCTTTTGTTACGAACTTAATTTGGTTTCTAAACTTATTAATTCGCTATTTCCTTCTGTAGGGTGCTTTACATGAAAAATATTTTTGCGATAATGCAAAATAGCAGAAATATATATGAATTTTTCCGGTCTTAAATGAGAAAATACAAACATCAAGAAAGTAAGAAAAAAATACTACAAAATGCAAGGTCATTAAAAGGAAGACTATAAAAATAAATCAAGATTTGTAAAGAAGAAAACAGTTTTTCTTTATGAATTATTTTTTTAAAGACTTTCACTTGATGGCAAAGAGTAAAAGTAATAAATATTGAAATTATGATTAAAACATCATTTAAAGTTTTTTTCTTTATAGCTTTTATGGCAGTAGCAGCATAATTGAAATTTGATAAGCAAATAGAAGAAACCACACACAAAACAACATTTACTTCTTTATGAAATTTCAAAAAAAAAAAAAAAAGTAGAAATTTTCTTCAAAACTTACCTTCAATACAAACAACATGATCTCGAATTTGTTGAGCGATTTGAGCATCTGTTATGGGTAATAAATCGATTAAATCATAGATGGCATAAATCGATGGATGAACACTTTCGAAACGTTGTATTTCTTGACGTATGGCCAAAGAATTGCTGATAGAGGTTGCGGTTGCTGTTGAGGTGTTGCTAGATTTGTTAGAGCTGACGATGACAATGTTGTAGCGGTTGACGTTGAATTGGCAGCCACAGCAACAGCGTTTAACGATGATGATTGTGGTGTTGGTGGTAGTGGTGGCATTGGAGCAGCAGGTGTTGTAAAATGATGTTGTGTATGTTGCAGCATCATTGAATGATTTTGTTGTTGTTGCTGCTGCTGTTGCTGTTGATGCAAATGATGATGCATTTGATGCGAAGGTGTCAATTGTATTGTTGAGGGAACTGCTACTGTGGCTGCTGCTACTGATGTTGAGAAATGATGATTATTGTGGTGCAATGACTGTTGCTGCTGCTGCTGATGTTGATGATGATTTCTCAACACCGGTGGTGGTGTTTGATTTTGATAATTATTCATGTTTGTTTATGGAAATTTTTTTTTCTTTTAGGAAAACACTTTTTGTAGTAATTTGTTAACACTTTTTTTTTAATTTTTTTTTTTTTTTTTTGTTTTGTTAATTTTTTTAATGACTTTTTGATTTGCTTTTATGAAACAAACTTTTCCTTTTATGTTGGTTTTAATTTTAAATCTTTTTCATTGTATTTTTTAGACGATTTACTAATTATTTTCTTTTAATATTTTTACACAAAATACATTTATTAATGAGGTTTTGTTTCTTTAGACACAAACCACTTTTTTAAAACTCTTGACTTGATATTTTTACACAACACCCACGAATTTTACATAAAAAGACCTGAAATGAAATAAAATTAGAAAATTAATTAAACTTAATATCAATATTAAACAAATATTAAATAAATAAGCAAATAACTAATAATAACCAAAAATATATAGTTCTAAACCGACAATTTATAAATTAGCTCCTCTTTTCAGTTCTATTTCAGTTTTAGTTCAGTTTTAGTTCAGTTCTAGTTCAGTTCTAGTTCAGTTCTAGTTCAGTTCTAGTTCAGTTCTAGTTCAGTTCTAGTTCAGTTCTAGTTCAGTTCTAGTTCAGTTCTAGTTCAGTTCTAGTTCAGTTCTAGTTCAGTTCTAGTTCAGTTCTAGTTCAGTTCTAGTTCAGTTCTAGTTCAGTTCTAGTTCAGTTCTAGTTCAGTTCTAGTTCAGTACTAGTTCAGTTCTAGTTCAGTTCTAGTTCAGTTTTAATTCAGTTCTAGTTCAGTTCTAGTTCAGTTCTAGTTCAGTTCTAGTTCAGTTCTAGTTCATTAGTTCAGTTCTAGTTCAGTTCTAGTTCAGTTCTAGTTCAGTTCTAGTTCAGTTCTAGTTCAGTTCTAGTTCTAGTTCTAGTTCAGTTCTAGTTCAGTTCTAGTTCAGTTCTAGTTCAGTTCTAGTTCAGTTCTAGTTCAGTTCTAGTTCAGTTCTAGTTCAGTTCTAGTTCAGTTCTAGTTCAGTTTAGTTCAGTTCTAGTTCAGTTCTAGTTCAGTTCTAGTTCAGTTCTAGTTCAGTTCTAGTTCAGTTCTAGTTCAGTTCTAGTTCAGTTCTAGTTCAGTTCTAGTTCAGTCCTAGTTCAGTTCTAGTTCAGTTCTAGTTCAGTTTTAGTTCAGTTCTAGTGCAGTTCTAGTTCAGTTCTAGTTCAGTTCTAGTTCAGTACTAGTTCAGTTCTAGTTCAGTTCTAGTTCAGTTCTAGTTCAGTTCTAGTTCAGTTCTAGTTCAGTTCTAGTTCAGTTCTAGTTCAGTTCTAGTTCAGTTCTAGTTCAGTTCTAGTTCAGTTCTAGTTCAGTTCTAGTTCAGTTCTAGTTCAGTTCTAGTCAGTTCTAGTTCAGTTCTAGTTCAGTTCTAGTTCAGTTCTAGTTCAGTTCTAGTTCAGTTCTATTTCAGTTCTATTTCAGTTCTAGTTCAGTTCTAGTTCAGTTCTAGTTCAGTTCTAGTTCAGTTCTAGTTCAGTTCTACTTCAGTTCTAGTTCAGTTCTAGTTCAGTTCTAGTTCAGTTCTAGTTCAGTTCTAGTTCAGTTCTAGTTCAGTTCTAGTTCAGTTCTAGTTCAGTTCTAGTCAGTTCTAGTTCAGTTCTAGTTCAGTTCTAGTTCAGTTCTAGTTCAGTTCTAGTTCAGTTCCAGTTCAGTTCTAGTTCAGTTCTAGTTCAGTTCTAGTTCAGTTCTAGTTCAGTTCTAGTTCAGTTCCAGTTCAGTTCTAGTTCAGTTCTAGTTCAGTTCTAGTTCAGTTCTAGTTCAGTTCTAGTTCAGTTCTGGTTTAGTTTTGTCGCATTTTTTGTAATTATTTTTCAGAATATTATAGGTAGGAACAGTAATTTCTTTATTTCTTTCACTGTATCACTACTAAGCCCTCTGTGACCATGACTTTTTACATTAAATTATTTTTCCTAATGGAATTTAATTGAAAGTCAATAAGAAGAATGAAATTTGCATTAAAAAAACTAATAGAAAACTATAAATAAAAGCACAAACTAAATTAAATATAATTTAATCAAAAAAGCAATAAATAAACAATAATTACATTTTTGTTTTGACTCTAATTGATTTCAATGAATTATTAATATTGTTGTTGCTGCAAATACTTATAGTAGTTGTTATTGTTGTTGTAAATTAACTAATTTCCTTTTCAAAGAGACACAAAAAGTGACGTAGAAATCTGGTCAGTTACATGAAGAAGAAACAGCAACAACAACAACAAGAGAAGCACAACACTTTTGTTAAACACAAAAAACAAGGCAGAAAAAAAAATATGTATATTTTTGTTGTTTTTATTTAGTAAATTTCATCAAAATATCTGTTTGATTTGTATTTTTGTTGGTGTTGTTTACACACCACAAAAAAAAACTTGACGCACAAACACACGTACGAAATGAACGAAAACCGACACACTTACACGGATAAACAACAAAAAAAACTTCTTTTTTTTATAATTTTTGATCTTTATTTTCTCAATTTATTTTTGTTATTTCGTTTTGTTTTCTGCTAAAGTAATTAAATTAAAACTTTTTTTATTACCGACAGACTTTGCTTTTAATTTTAGACAACTTTAATTGTGTTAGATTTCTGAAAAAAACCTTGGCAAATTTTTTACAAGCTTTTTGCACAAAAATACTTATTAGAATTTTTGTTTTTACAAAATTTTCTAAATTAAACGCACTTTAAATATACACACACACAAACACTAATAATTTTCTACGCGCATTTTTCTATAATTTTCTGTACCGTCCGTAACACGATTGACGCCCGTAAAACATAAAAACCGTCTCAACATTCCACGACAAATTGTCAAAATGTACTAAATGGAATTTTCATCAAATTGGGATTTTTTTCAATTTGTTTTCTTCAAATCTGTCATTCTCTGTAAATTTATTGTTTTCTTTGCTATGTTTTACAAATTCGTTGTAGTTTTTTAATTGGCAATTTTGTTTTGTGTTGACATTTTGTTTTACAAATTGTAGCATAAGGGCGATAAGACAGTTTTCCTTATAGTAACAAAGACGATAACACAGTGTTTCAGGGTTGTTTGGTAAAGGTAAGACAGTGTTCATAAAACAGAGTTGTGTTAGATTGTACTACAAAGAGCAGAAAAACAAAATATAAGCAAAGGAATTTTCATCCGGAAGAAATTTTAGTTATTTTTCGTTAATTATTAAGAAAATTAAAGAAATTTTAAATTGTTTGAGACAAATTAAAGCTGTAAATGTAAGTGTGTAAATTGTTTATAAATTTTAATCATTTGTAATAAAATTTTGCAACATTTGTGGAAAAAAATATAAGGAGCAATATTGCAAAAGCCGGTGGACAGTAAGACCTCGATAAGAATTGTTAAAAATTAGAACAGTTATTACAAATCTAATATTTTAAAGAATATTTTTTTATAGAAAATTACACAAATTCGATATAAATTGTGCAGTTTTATAAAATTTTTTGGAAATTGTTAAATATGGTGAAAATTTCTAACATTTTCTCAAGAAATTGAAGAATTTTTTAAAGAAAATTACACAATTTCAAGGAAATTGAGAAATCTTCTAAAAAAAATTACACAAATTCAGAGAAATTGCAGAATTATCTAAAGAAAATTAATCAATTTTAAGAAAATTTAAAAAGTTTCTAAAGAAAATTACACAAATTCAGGGAAATTGCAGAATTTTCTAAAGAAAATTACATAATTTCAAGGAAATTCAAAAATTTTCAGAAGCAAATTACACAATTTCTAGGAAAATGAAAAATTTTCTAAAGAAAATTGAACAAGTTCTAGGAAATTTAAAAATTTTCTAAAGAAAATTGAACAATTTCTAGGAAATTGGAAAATTTTCTAAAGAAAATTGTACAATTTCTAGGAAAAGGAAAAATTTTCTAAAGAAAATTATACAATTTCTAGGAAATAGAAAAAATTTCTAATGAATATTATACAATTTCTAGCAAATTGAAAATTTAAAAAAAAATTACACAATTTTAAGGAAGCTCAAAAATTTGCTTGGAAATTTCAACTTTTTGTAAATAGAATTTTGAAAAGTTGGCAACTGACATGGATTCCAAACAGTAAAACAAACTTTTTTAGCATTCTAATTAGAATAAATTAAAATTTAACAGTTATTCATACTTAAAATACTAATTCACATTTACCTAAATTAAAATTTCCGAGAAAATTAAAAAAAAACTTACTTATTCTCACTTTTTTTGCACATTGTCGGATCAAATTGATATAAAATCACCTGCTAACAAATTACGCGTTATACATTTACACATTTAACGAATTAAGAACACGACTACATAACTCCGGCCGAAATTTAACGAAGCACTTCCCTAAGAAGACATATATTTTGAGACACCTCCGGCCACTGCCGGCTTTTGTGCAATTTTTTTTTTATCACATTTCTTAATTTACGCTTAACACTTTTCTTAAATACTAACAGGCCATTAATTGATGCTTTTATGCTCAATTATTTTTATACTTCTACTAATTTGCTTTTTTAATAACTTTTAACCATAGGCAAGAGCCTCCTTAACATAGCCAACTTTACTAATGATTTTCACACATAATTTTTACATTTTCCCTATAACTAATACATTAATTTTCTTATATACCTTCCATTTTTCATAAATTTGCATTATTTTCTTTTGTTTAAACACTTCATTATACATTTTTTATTATTAAAAGGAGAGCTTCACTTTTTATGCAAACTTTAACAAAACGAGAAAAAAACCGCGAACTAATTTGACAGTTACACTAGAACAGAGTTGTTAATATTCTTATGTGACAATGAAAGTAAAACAGAGATGTTTAAGGAAACGGATGATAGCAGAAATGTTACAACAGTGTTGTTAAATAAACAAAACTGAGAGATAAAATTGAGGAAAAGAGATGATTTTAAGAAAATTAAAACTAAAGACTATAGACTATAGACTAGTCAAACTTATAGACTATATTATAGACTAGACTATGGATTAGAATACAGACTAGACTATAGACTAGATTATAGTCTAGACTATAGACTTGTCTATAGAGTAGGCTATAGACTAGACTATAGACTAGACTATAGACTAAACTATAGACTAAACTATAGACTAAACTATAGACTAAACTATAGACTAGACTATAGACAAGATTATAGAATAGATTACAGACTACACCATGGACAAGACTATAGACTAGACTATTGACTAGACTATTGACTAGACTATTGACTAGACTATTGACTAGACTAGACTATAGACTAGACTATAGACTAGACTATAGACTAGACTATATATTAGACTATAGACTAGACTATAAACTAGACTATAGACTAAACTATGGACTCGACTATAGACTAGACTATAGACTAGACTATAGACTAGACTTTAGACTAGACTATAGACTAGACTATAGACTAGACTAGACTAGACTAGACTAACTATAGACTAGACTATAGACTAGACTATAGACTAGACTATAGACTAGACTATAGACTAGACTATAGACTAGACTATAGACTAGACTATAGACTAGACTATAGACTAGACTATAGACTAGACTATAGACTAGACTATAGACTAGACTATAGACTAGACTATAGACTAGACTATAGACTAGACTATAGACTAGACTAGACTAGACTATAGACTAGACTATAGACTAGACTATAGACTAGACTATAGACTAGACTATAGACTAGACTATAGACTAGACTATAGACTAGACTATAGACTAGACTATAGACTAGACTATAGACTAGACTATAGACTAGACTATAGACTAGACTATAGACTAGACTATAGACTAGACTATAGACTAAACTATGGACTCGACTATAGACTAGACTATAGACTAAGCTATAGGCTAAACTATAGACTGAACTATAGACTAGACTATAGACAAGAATATAGAATAGATTATAGACTGGATTACAGAATAGATTATAGATTACAGACTACACCATGGACTATAGACTAGACTTTTGACTATTGACTAGAATATAGACTAGACTATAGTCTAGACTATAGACTAGACTATAGTCTAGACTATAGACTAGACTATAGTCTAGACTATAGACTAGACTATAGTCTACACTATAGACTAGACTATAGTCTATACTATAGACTAAACTATTGACTAGACTATAGTCTAGACTATAGTCTAGACTATAGTCTAGACTATAAACTAGACTATTGACTAGACTATAGTCTAGACTATAGACTAGACTATTGACTAGGCTATATACTAGGGTATAGACTAGACAATTGACTAGGCTATAGACTAGACTATTGACTGGGCTATAGACTAAACTATTGACTAGAATATAGACTAGACTGTAGACTAGACTAGACTATAGACTAGACTATAGACTTGAATATAGACTAGACTAGACTATAGACCAGTCTGTGGACGAGACTATAGACTAAACTATAGACTTTATCATTGATTAGACTACTATCTATATTATAGACTGGTCTAGTACATTGTTTATATTTTATCATGTCCAATTGGAAATAGTGTAAAATATCAAAACAGTATCTAAATTTAGATTTGCTACGGACCAGCAGATGTCACTTTTGTGTTAAGTAGTGACTGCATTATCCCATCATAACTTCTGTATTTACATATTTTAAAATTAAAGTTAAATTTTAACCGATTTTTGGAGAGAAATTATTGAATTTGGATAATTAAAAAAAAGTTATTAATAGTTTTTAATAATAGTAGTACGAGTTGTCTCAAAAAACCTATTACACAATATACACAAATTAGATTAATTAAAAGTGCACTTACTAATCGTTGTTTTCCGACTAAACATCAAACAACTGATAACGAAAGTGATCATTTTAGCAAAAAAAAAAAAAATCTAAATAAAACGAACAGATAACACGAAGCCAAACAAATTAATTAAAATTAAATATGTTTCTTTAAAACAAATTTTTGCAGCTCAGCGTTTAGTTCTTAACAAATCGTGCGAAAAGCTGGATGTGCCAGAGCTAAGAATATGAAGTTAAAATATAAACACATACTACAGGTCACAACCCTAGTCTGTTTACAGGTAATTAAAAACATACATATGTATATAATATATTTTTTTAAAATTTCAACACCTCTTCTCTTTGTTAATAAACAGCTTTGTCTCACTGCCCTGCCGGAAAACTGTGATGACACCTGCGATGCCAATCAACCCAAAGCATTCTTCCAACAACAAAATGAATTATTAAGACAACGTAAGCGAGCTGAATATCTCTTAGCCTACGAATACAATACAAATGTAACGGAACACAATCGTCTGGAAATGATCGCTGTATCAGCAAAAAATGCTAAAGAAACTAAAAAATTATCAGAAGCTATACGTAATTTAGGCTATGATCGCTTAGATAATACCAATCTACAGAGACAAGCAAAAATTTTAGCTGATCCCGGTTATGATATCTTGCCGGAGGAAGATTTCTTAACTCTACAAAATGCCATTAGTAGCATGCAATCGAATTATGCCAGTACTAAAGTCTGTTCTTATACCAATGCGACAGATTGTTCTTTAGCTTTGGAACCTCATATACAGGAACGTTTGTCCAATAGTCGTGATCCTAAAGAATTGGCTCACTACTGGAAAGAGTGGCATGATAAGGCGGGAACACCGATGAAAGAGAATTTTGCTAAATATGTGGAATTAAGTAGAAAGGCAGCGAAATTGAATAGTGAGTTGAAAGAACTAAACCTGAACTGAACTAGAATTGAACTAGAACTGAACTAGAACTGAACTAGAACTGAACTAGAACTGAACTAGAACTGAACTAGAACTGAACTAGAACTGAACTAGAACTGAACTAGAACTGAACTAGAACTGAACTAGAACTGAACTAGAACTGAACTAGAACTGAACTAGAACTGAACTAGAACTGAACTAGAACTGAACTAGAACTGAACTAGAACTGAACTAGAACTGAACTAGAACTGAACTAGAAATGAACTAGAACTGAACTAGAACTGAACTAAAACTGAACTAGAACTGAACTAAAACTGAACTAGAACTGAACTAGAACTGAACTAGAACTGAACTAGAACTGAACTAGAACTGAACTAGAACTGAACTAGAACTGAACTAGAACTTACTAAAACTGAACTAGAACTGAACTAGAACTGAACTAGAACTGAACTAGAACTGAACTAGAACTGAACTAGAACTGAACTAGAACTTACTAGAACTGAACTAGAACTGAACTAGAACTGAACTAGACTGAACTAGAACTTAACTAGAAACTTAACTAGAACTACTAGAACTGAACTAGAACTGAACTAGAACTGAACTAGAACTGAACTAGAACTGAACTAGACGAACTAGAACTGAACGAACTGAACTAGAACTGAACTAGAACTGAACTAGAACTGAACTAGAACTGAACTAGAACTGAACTAGAACTGAACTACTGAACTAGAACTGAACTAGAACTGACTAGAACTGAACTAGAACTGAACTATAACTGAACTAGAACTGAACTAGAACTGAACTAGAACTGAACTAGAACTGAACTAGAACTGAACTAGAACTAGAATGAACTAGAACTGAACTAGAACTGAACTAGAATGAACTAGAACTGAACTAGAACTGAACTAGAACTGAACTAGAACTGAACTAGAACTGAACTAGAACTGAACTAGAACTGAACTAGAACTGAACTAGAACTGAACTAGAACTGAACTAGAACTGAACTAGAACTGAACTAGAACTGAACTAGAACTGAACTAGAACTGAACTAGAACTGAACTAGAACTGAACTAGAACTGAACTAGAACTGAACTAGAACTGAACTAGAACTGAACTAGAACTGAACTAGAACTGAACTAGAACTGAACTAGAACTGAACTAGAACTGAACTAGAACTGAACTAGAACTGAACTAGAACTGAACTAGACTGAACTAGAAACTGAACTAGAACTGAACTAGAACTGAACTAGAACTGAACTAGAACTGAACTAGAACTGAACTAGAACTGAACTAGAACTGAACTAGAACTGAACTAGAACTGACTAGAACTGAACTAGAACTGAACTAGAACTGAACTAGAACTGAACTAGAACTGAACTAGAACTGAACTAGAACTGAACTAGAACTTACTAGAACTGAACTAGAACTGAACTAGAAATGAACTAGAACTGAACTAGAACTGAACTAGAACTGAACTAGAACTGAACTAGAACTGAACTAGAACTGAAATAGAACTGATCTAGAACTTAACTAGAAATGAAATTTTATTTAAAAGAAAATTTAACCTTTTCCAGACTTTCCCTCTTATGCCGATTACTGGATCCACTTCTATGAAGATCCTGAATTTGAAAAAAATCTAGATGAGGTATTCCAAGCGATTCTCCCACTTTACCGTGAAATTCATGGCTATGTACGCCATCGTTTGGCTCAACATTATGGCGCGGAAGTGGTGCCGGAAAAAGGCAATATTCCCATACATCTACTCGGCAACATGTGGGCCCAAAATTGGGATGAAGTAATAGAACTACTCAAACCCTATCCGAATATTTCTTTCGTGGATGTTACAGCCGAAATGAAAAAACAAGATTATACGATTAAGAAAATGTTTGAATTGGGTGATGAATTTTTCCAGTCTCTCGGTATGCGGGCTTTACCCACCAGCTTTTGGAATTTAAGTGTTCTAGAGAAACCGGAAGATCGTACTATTGTTTGTCATGCTTCAGCATGGGATCTTTTCGCCGATAGTGATGTACGCATTAAAATGTGTACAGAGGTGGACACCCATTATCTGTATGTGGTGCATCATGAATTGGGTCATATACAGTACTATTTATTGTATGAGAATCAGCCTACAGCTTTCAGAGGAGCACCAAATCCCGGTTTCCATGAGGCGGTGGGAGATGTTATTGCTTTGTCAGTGTCTTCTACTAAACATTTACATGCTATAGGTTTGTCTCAGGTGGTGGAATTGGATGAGCAGAGTCGTATTAATGAATTGTTTAAAATGGCCTTAAAGAAAATTGTTTTTCTACCCTTTGCCTATACCATGGATAAATATCGTTATGCGGTGTTTAGAAATGAAATAGAACCTTCTGCCTGGAATTGTGCTTTCTGGCAAATGAGATCTGAGTATTCGGGTGTAGAGCCACCAGTAGCTAGAACCGATAATGATTTCGATCCTCCTGCTAAGTACCATATAGATGCTGATGTTGAGTATTTAAGATATTTTGCTGCCCACATATTCCAATTTCAATTCCACAAGGCCATGTGCTCTAAGGCGGGCCAGTATGTCAAGGGAGATGCTCACAAAACTTTGGACAATTGTGATATTTATAAAAGCAAAGAAGCGGGAGAGGCCTTTAAGTAAGTTAAACCAAGTTTTCTGTTAAAAAACTTTCATTTTATTTTGTCTTTCTATAGAAACTTCCTCTCAGCTGGAGCCAGTCGCCACTGGACCGAAGTCTTAAATGAGTTTACCGGCGATAAGAAGATGGATCCCTCTGCTTTATTGGAATATTTTGAACCTTTGCGCGAATGGCTTAAAGAAGAGAATCGCAAGCAACGGGTACCCGTAGGCTGGGGCATGACAGACAGTAAGTTTGTTTAAGACAATGTTTGAGAAAATTTATATTTAAAGCTGGATTTTACTTATTACAGAAGTACCTCATTCCTGTATGACCAACAAGCCAGAATCGCAATAATTTTTGCAATAAAACGCAACCGGTTCAATTTTAATCGAATTTTTAACGTTAATTATTTTACAAAAATACTCATAAACTTATCAAACCAGTTAATTTACAAAAGTAATAAAAAATATTCCAAATTCTTAAGAAAAATTTTAATAAAATTAAATTTCAAAATTAATCTTTTACTTTGAAACAAAATGTCATTAACTTGTTTCCCCGAAGGACCATTTCTTTTAAAAAAATTGTTTTTATTTTTAAAAATTTCTCTAACTGAACTCCCATTTGAATCTAATCCCCTTTTAAACAAACTTTCTCTTTCTCCTTATAATCTTATTTACAACTTTTTCTATTTTTTTCTTACCATTTCTTAAACTTAGACAATATAATCTCCTCCCGCTCCAGATTTCCAATAAAAAAACAAAAATAAATCTCGTTTTTTGCTTTCATTATTAAACGTTCATTCATTTTAAATGTAAATTTTTTTTTATCAGCATTTATCAGTTCATTTACTTCGTTGGCTTTTAGCCGGCTTATAAACAGTTTGTTGTTGTGAACGACAACTGGTCTAACAGTCAGACTAATTAGTTTCACATTAAGTCAGTGATGATTATAAACACACAGCTCGATTGAAGTGTAAACAAAAAACCCACGCGCAAACGCAAAGTAAATACAAAGAGGAACAGACAGCAGGCACTTTGAATTACTTTGGGAATAAAATAATGCATTTTAAAAGGCAATAGGGGTATTCAGGTAGTAATGGGTAGGTTTTGGAAACAGACAATTCTTAGTCTAGTGTCTAATTTATAATCTATTCTAAAGAAAATTGATCAGTTTCAAGGAATGGAAATTAATCGTTTTCAAGGAAACTCAAAAATGTTCTTGGAAATTGGAAAATTTTGAAAAATTGGTAACTGGTATGGATTCCAAATAGTAAAACAATCTTGTATAGTATTCTAATTAGAATAAATTGGATTTAAACAGATATTCATACTTAAAATACTAATTCACATTTACCTTAATTTAAATTTCCGGGAAAATTAAAAAAAAAACTTATTTATTTTTACTATTTTGCACTTTAGCCGAAGAAATTAGCATAAAATAAACTGCTAACAAATACCGCGTTTTACATTTACACATTTAACGACTTGAGAACACGACTACACAATTCCGGCCGAAATTTAGCGAAGCTCTTCCCTAAGAATACGTATTTTTTGAGACACCTCCAGCCACAGCCGGCTAACTTAAGGATTTAAGCAAAATTTTTTATCACATTTATTTAAATTACACTTAACACTTTTCTTAAACAATAACAGGCCATTAATTGATGCTTTTATGATCAATTATTTCTTATACTTTTACTTATTTGCTTTTTTTATAACTTTTAACTATAGACAAGCGCCTCCTTAACAAAGACAACTTTACTAATGATTTTCACACTTTAATTTTACATTTTCCCTATAACTAATATATTAATTTTCTTATAAACACTTTATTTTTTATAAATTTTCATTATTTTCTTTAATATAAACACTTAATTATACATTTTTATTATTATAAGGAGAGCTTCACTTTTCATGCAAACTTTAGCAAAACCAGAAAAAACCGCGAACTAATTTGACAGTTAAATTAGAACAGAGTTGTTAATTTTCTTATGTGACAATGAAAAGAAACCAGGGATGTTTAAGGAAACGGATGATAGCAGAAATGTTACAACAGTGTTGTTAATTCAACAAAACTGAGAGATAGATTTCAGGAAAGGATTATAGGACTAGACTATAGACTAGACTATAGACTAGACTATAGACTAGACTTTAGACTAGACTAGACTATAGACTAGACTATAGACTAGACTATAGACTAGACTATAGACTAGACTATAGACTAGACTATAGACTAGACTATAGACTAGACTATAGACTAGACTATAGACTAGACTATAGACTAGACTATAGACTAGACTATAGACTAGACTATAGACTAGAGTATAGACTAGACTATAGACTAGACTATAGACTAGACTATAGACTAGACTATAGACTAGACTATAGACTAGACTATAGACTAGACTATAGACTAGACTATAGACTAGACTATAGACTAGACTATAGACTAGACTATAGTCTAGACTATAGACTAGACTATAGACTAGACCATAGACTAGACTATAGACTAGACTATAGACTAGACTATAGACTAGACTATAGACTAGACTATAGACTAGACTAGACTATAGACTAGACTAGACTATAGACTAGACTATAGACTAGACTATAGACTAGACTAGACTATAGACTAGACTAGACTAGACTAGACTATAGACTAGACTAGACTAGACTATAGACTAGACTATAGACTAGACTATAGACTAGACTATAGACTAGACTATAGACTAGACTATAGACTAGACTATAGACTAGACTATAGACTAGACTATAGACTAGACTATAGACTAGACTATAGACTAGACTATAGACTAGACCTATAGACTAGACTATAGACTAGACTATAGACTAGACTATAGACTAGACTATAGACTAGACTATAGACTAGACTATAGACTAGACTATAGACTAGACTATAGACTAGACTATAGACTAGACTATAGACTAGACGAGACTATAGACTAGACTATAGACTAGACTATAGACTAGACTATAGACTAGATAGACTATGACTAGACTAGACTATAGACTAGACTAGACTAGACTGACTAGACTAGACTATAGACTAGACTATAGACTAGACTAGACTAGACTAGACTAGACTATAGACTAGACTATAGACTAGACTAGACTATAGACTAGACTATAGACTAGACTATAGACTAGACTATAGACTAGACTATAGACTAGACTATAGACTAGAGTATAGACTAGACTATAGACTAGACTATAGACTAGACTATACTAGACTATAGACTAGACTATAGACTAGACTATAGACTAGACTATAGACTAGACTATAGACTAGACTATAGACTAGACTATAGACTAGACTATAGTCTAGACTATAGACTAGACTATAGACTAGACCATAGACTAGACTATAGACTAGACTATAGACTAGACTAGACTAGACTATAGACTAGACTATAGACTAGACTATAGACTAGACTAGACTATAGACTAGACTAGACTATAGACTAGACTATAGACTAGACTATAGACTAGACTAGACTATAGACTAGACTAGACTATAGACTAGACTAGACTAGACTAGACTATAGACTAGACTAGACTATAGACTAGACTAGACTATAGACTAGACTATAGACTAGACTATAGACTAGACTAGACTAGACTAAGACTATAGACTAGACTATAGACTAGACTATAGACTAGACTATAGACTAGACTATAGACTAGACTATAGACTAGACTATAGACTAGACTATAGCTAGACTATAGACTAGACTATAGACTAGACTATAGACTAGACTATAGACTAGACTATAGACTAGACTAGACTAGACTATAGACTAGACTATAGACTAGACTATAGACTAGACTATAGACTAGACTATAGACTAGACTATAGACTAGACTATAGACTAGACTATAGACTAGACTATAGACTAGACTATAGACTAGACTATAGACTAGACTATAGACTAGACTATAGACTAGACTATAGACTAGACTATAGACTAGACTATAGACTAGACTATAGACTAGACTATAGACTAGACTATAGACTAGACTATAGACTAGATATAATAGCTAACTAGACTATAGACTAGACTATAGACTAGACTATAGACTAGACTATAGACTAGACTATAGATAGACAACTAGACTATACCTTAGACTAGACTATAGACTAGACTTAGACTAGACATATAGACTAACTAGACTACTAGACTATAGACTAGACTATACTAGAATAGACTAGACTATAAGCTAGACTATAGAATAACTAGACTATAGACTACTTAGACTATGAGCATAGACTATAGACTAGACTATAGATGACTACTAGGCTTGACTATAGACTAGACTATAGAGTAGACTATAGACTAGCTATAACTAGACTATAGACAAAGCCTATAGACTAGACTATAGACTAGACTATAGACTATAGCTATAGACTAGACTAGACTATAGACTAGACTATGCACTATAGTCCAGTCTAGTCTAAAATTATACTTGTTTTCCTCAAGTTATCTGTCAGTTCCGTTTAATTAACATCAGTGTCGTAACATTTCTATATTCAACCGTTATCTAAACGACTCTGTATTCCTTTCATTGTCACATGAGAATATTAACAACTCTGTTTTAATTTAACTGTCAAATTAGTTCGCGGTTTATTCTTGTTTTGCTAAAATTTACATAAATAGTGAAGCTCTTCTTTTAATAAGAGAAAATGTAGAATTAAGTGTTTAAATAAAAGAAAATAATGAAAATTAATGGAAAATAAAAGGTTTATTAGAAAATTAATGTATTAGTTAAAGTGTAAATGTAAAAATTAAGTGTGAAAATCATTAGTAAAGTTGTCTTTGTTGAGGAGGCGCTTGCCTTTAGTTAAAAGTTATTAAAAGGAAGAAAATAAGTAAAAGTATGAATATAATTGATCTTAAAGCATCAATTAATGACCTGTTATTATTCAAGAAAAGTGTGAAATGTAAATTAAGAAAAGTGATAAGAAATTTGCTAAAAATCCTTAAGTTAGCCGGTAGTGGCCGTAGGTGTCTCAAAATGTTTGTATTCTTATGGAAGTGCTTCGCTAAATTTCGGTCGGAATTATGTAGTCGTGTTCTTAATTCGTTAAATGTACAAATTTTTAATGTTGTACTATTTGTCAGCAGGTTATTTTATGCTAAATTCTTCGCATAAATTGAAAAATAGTAAGAATGAATAACTTTTTTCCCCGAAGATTTAAATTAAGGTAAATGCCAATTAGTATTTTAAATATGAATAACTGTTATATTTCAATTTATTCCAATTAGAATGTACTACAAGTTTGTTTTACTGTTTGGAATCCATGGCAGTTACCAATATTTCAAAATTTTCTTTACAAAATGTTAAAATTTTCACGAAAATTTGTGATTTTTATTGAAATTGGTAATTTTTTTAGAAACTTTATGAATTTTCTGTAATTGTGTAATTTTCTTTATAAAATTCATTAATTTCTTCGAAATTGTGTAATTTGCTAGTGTATAGTCTAGTCTATAGTCTAGTCTATAGTATAGTATATAGTCTAGTCTATAGTCTAGTCTATAGTCTAGTCTATAATCTAGTCTATAGTCTAGTCTATAGTCTAGTCTATAGTCTAGTCTATAGTCTAGTCTATAGTCTAGTCTATAGTCTAGTCTATAGTCTAGTCTATAGTCTAGTCTATAGTCTAGTCTATAGTCTAGTCTATAGTTCTAGTCTATAGTCTAGTCTATAGTCTAGTCTATAGTCTAGTCTATAGTCTAG